TATGTTTTTGAATTGGGCTACGTTACTTTGTAAAAGTTACAAATGAAATGTCATTACTTGTATTTATGTAGTGTTGCTGTAAATATTAAAAAATTTAATTATGGTACGGAATCGAACTCGAATGGTTCCATAATTATATTTGGACTCGACGATTCCGTTTATTAAAGAACCAACCCACGAACAGCCCCACTCCCAAGATAGGCTCTTTTAATGGAGAAAAGAGCTAGGACAAGTATTATGCACACGTTGAGTTGTTATACACTTTATGTGAGGCCCTCGTGCGCTATTAAACTTATTTTCGATATGGGTCCCTTTATTATTTGGATTGGGTCCAATAGACATTAATGTATGGTACTAATAACTCGTTATTTGGTGCAAACTTCTAAACATGTCCAAAAGTAACCCATATTTTATATGTTACACTACACTTTTCTATGTAATTAACTGATCTTCTTGACGGGAGGGTTGAGCCGAGGATAACCTTGGACCCCATTTTGATGTTTATTCAATGCATTGTTAACAAGGGAAGATAAGAAAACGATTTGTGTGGCGGGAGTTAGAGTAGTCATTGTCAAAAGCAGAAGGTTTGTCCTTTACAATGTCACTGTCCAATCCAATCAAAAGTTCAAATCTTCTACGTCTTTCCTTCATCTGAAGTGTCAACATCTAAGAAAATGAACGGAATAAAACAAAACTAGAGATGGCAAATTGAACAAGTTATATTATTGACTATTATTAGAAAATTGACAAATCACTCGAGTTCGGCCTGATCCCATGGATAAGCCTAATTGGCTCATGTCCACAAATTAGGCTCAGTTCGACCTTTTTGACAAGTAGATCTCATGAACCACATCCAACCACCCATGAGATGGCTCATTCTTTTTAATGAAATTAATGAAACAATCCTAAATACGAGTTGGCTCCCGTGTCCAAAACGAGTCAGCCTAGTGAAAAAAAGAGTGCTCGACTTGATTAATGATTTGTCTCAAAACGAGCCTGATCGAGGATGAGTCAAATTTACTAGCGACTCCAACCATTTGCTACCATTAACTATTATAAATATCTCTTCAGACTTTCGCAAACAAGGTATCATTTTGAATAAAAGGAAAATTTGTGTCTGATAAATAAATAAATACACATATGTAAACTCAAGTTTTTACAGCTGTACAGAAAATACATTTATATACAATTTTCAAGACCGTTCGTAAAAACTACCGGATAATAGTGATAACTGATATGCTGCAACCAAGCGCATTTCTCTCGCTGCTATTTCTATTGGCGGCGGCGGCGCGCGGCGGAGATTATAGCAGAGCAGACTTTCCGGCTGATTTTGTTTTCGGTTCTGGAACCTCCGCTTATCAAGTCAGTTTTAGCGATTTGGTTCGGATAATCCGAACTATTCAATCTTCATCATTAGTTGGCTAATTAATAACGAAAATGAATAATAATAGCACGATATTCGTTAACTTTTCTCCAAAATACTTAAAGTTCGATAATTGTGATCCTAGCATGATTTATAAATGATAATTTTATTCAAAATTTTCACTTCATTTTTAGAAAATTGTGTTCATTATTCAGGTATTTGTCTGGCTCTAAATGTTAATTCGATTCGAAATATATATTTGATTAAATCGTTTTTATGGTGTAGGAGAGACGAGAGAACAAGGCAATCAATCAATCTATTTTTTTTTTTGGTTCATAATCTCGCAAAATTCTAATTCCTAACTCCAGTCTGAAACTTTGCATGAATGAACACAATCGATGAATATTAGTACGAGGGAGCAGCATTTGAGGATGGAAGGACTCCCAGCATTTGGGATACTTATGCTCATTCTGGTCTGTGCTTATGCTTATGCTCTCACATCTCATTTCTAGTATTTTTTTTTTCCGACTTTGCTCACAATGAAGTATAATACTTTACTAAATCCTGTCTTTTAATTCAATCTAATTATTAGACTTACACCATGATATTAATCATTTCTCTGTAATACGCATGTCTTGGTATCCTACTCCAAAAATTTCAGGTCATAGCGGTGGAGCCACCGGAGATGTAGCATGCGACGGATATCACAAATACAAGGTGCACAAACAGTTGAGAAGTCTAATTTTGAGCTTAGTTTTTGTTCCCCTTCACAATTTTTCGTTTCTCTTCTTTGAGGTAAAAATTAGGTTTCTGCATTAATATGGAATTGTTCCTTTGGATATGGATCAGGGGATTGCAAGATCTTTCTTACTAAATCTGATTAATGGATGTAGTACTCTAGTGAGGCCAAATCTAAAATCTTCGAAGAAATGCACCCTCCCTCTATATTTAGAATAATAGAGGCTCATAGTTAACTCCTCTCTTTTTTTCATTTATTGTTTGGACATAGTTATGAACTAAAGCTTTCAATATTTTGCCTAAATCTGGGCAAAAGTCCTTTAATCACACAAACTCCAATCTTGTAGTCGTGGAGGAAATTCTTTTCCATTATATCTACAAGTCAGTAAAAACTACGCGTGCTATCTATTTCAGGAAGATATCAGGCTAATGTTGGACATGCATTTGGAGGCCTTCAGATTGTCCATATCATGGTCAAGGCTCATTCCTAGTATGTTCACCTGCATCATACTATACAAGAAACCTGCATATTTTTTATACTTTTAACTTGCATGATGTCTACTGTCTTTTCAGATGGAAGAGGACCTATCAACCCCAAGGGGCTAGAATACTACAATAATCTCATTGACGAACTTATAAGCCATGGTGACAACTGCACTTCCTACGAAATATATATTTTCACTTATAAATAGCAAGTGAAGAAATTACTAGAACAAGAATGATATTCAATAGTCCATTACAGATCTATCCATAGCGCATCCATGATAAGAATTTTGTAATCGTGTAGGAATCCAACCTCATGTTACGTTACATCATATGGATCTACCACAAGCACTCGATGACGAGTATGGGGGATGGCTTAGTCGAAAAATTGTGTACGTGTTTTATAACTTTATCATAATATATAAACATCTTGAACTAGTTTAGCTCAACATATAGAACTTAGTGTGAAGAAACTTATCTGCGTGTGACTGCAGGAAGGACTTTGTGGTGTATGCAGACACATGCTTTAGGGAATTCGGTGACAGAGTATTGTACTGGACAACCATTAACGAGGCCAATATATTTTCTGTGGGAGGTTACGATGAAGGAGCCTCTCCCCCAGGACACTGTTCACTACCCGTCCAAAATAATTGTTCCAAGGGTAACTCCTCAATTGAGCCATACATTGTGGGACATAATATCTTGCTTGCACATTCAGCTGCTGTGAAACTGTACAAGAAGAAATACAAGGTATTTTTTTCTCTATCCTTTTCTCTGTTGAAGATTTTTTATTAAAACCTAATTCTTCAAGTTTATACGTTTTAAATTTAATGCAGTCCACTCAAAATGGTTTCGTGGGATTTAACATCTATAGTTTTTGGTTCGTTCCTTATACAAATTCAACGGAAGATGTGATTGCAACTCAAAGAGCTAAAGATTTCTACATTGGTTGGTAAGTTGCAGAACTTGGATAAGTTTACTTTCTGTTCATATTCAAGATAATTGCACCAGCGTTCCACAATCTATTGCTCGGGTAGTAAGTTGGTCACAACTCACAACCTTTCTTTGTAGCTGTGTAATCCAAGTTCGTGTTAAATCATCACTTGCCCCTCCCACTTTTCCAACTTTATGAAGGTAGGTTTTGTTTACAACTTGGTCTAGTGCCTGATATTTAAAATGATGAAGAATTAACAGTTTCAATCATTCTGGACTATTTGTGCAACAAAACTACAAGGTTGGAGATCAAAATTCTCAATTTTAAAGGTTAAGGACCAAGTTGTTACAGGTTCTATAGACCAATAGTGCAATATTCCTTCTTCTATGAATCCCCAGTGGTCTGACAACTAGCAAATTCAACATTTGAAAACATTTTTCATGTGTAGACTTGCAAGGTTTAACAATGTCTTATATTTGCTGCAGGTTAGTTGATCCCCTTATCTATGGAGACTATCCTAGGAGTGTAAAGAAAAATGTTGGGAAGAGACTTCCAGCCTTTACCGAATATGAGTCTAAGCAAATCAAGGGATCAATCGACTTTATAGGAGTGAACCACTATACAACATTATACATCAAGGACAATCCCAGCAACCTCCAAATTGATAACAGGGATTTTGATACTGACATAGCAATAGAGATTAAATGTGTGGCTACTATTTTTCACTACTCATTATTCTGTTCCTCCCATTCTTACAGCTCATTTTGCTTAGTCTTTGAGTTTTGCTTCAGTGATCAGTTAGCATTCTTTCATTTAGATAATACTGTTCCATGGATAAAAGTACACTAACTTATCCTTTTACTTGGTTCTGTAGTTAAGCAGGGCAATGAATTACCAGATCAGGTGAAATCTGTAGTATAATTTCATGGTTTTGGTTTAATTTACTCGATATTCAAATACTTTTATTTGGAACAGTATCCAATTAGGCCTTGGGGTCTTTATGGATTGCTGGAGTATCTAAAACAAGCGTATGGCGATATACCAGTTTATGTCCATGAAAATGGTCTCTCTCTCTCTCTCTCTCCCCACATGTGCACACAAGAGCACACGACACACACATTGTTTGCAGATTGATATGTTCATTTCTATGTGGCATTAATTTCTTTCTGTTTAAGATTGCTTCAGTAGTTATTCAGATGAGGCTATGCCTTCATTTCTATGCGCTCATTTCTTTTCTCCCCTTGAGGGGTACAATATCAAATACGTAGAACAGCTAGAGAGATACAAAAGAAGGTAGCCTCCCAATTGCCGTAATAAAGCTGTCAACTCGAAGGACGCAAAGTAATGAGTGCGTTTATGCTTTACTGTCATATTGTTTACTGTAGTATAATCCACCCTATGAAACAAGCCATTTAAAGTGTTTATTGATACATAGGGGTTACTCATAGTTCATTATAAACACTAATGAATGCTAGGGGTTCAGGGATCAACATTAAGTACAATCGAAATCAAAACTATATCCTTTTTTGGCAAGCAAATCTGCTCAAGTTGTGATTTTTGCAATTCTATCTTGCTGAAGTGTATATACTGGAGTTATGCTACATTTCTTGTTCGATGTTGTTTTTGTTATTTTAACCTGAGAAGACAATTGTCTCAAAAAAATCACGTCTTGGATTGGTTTGGCAGGCCAGTTGGCACGACGCAATGGAACACTTTATGACAAATCGCGAGTGGAATATATGCATACTTACATTGGGAGCATGCTTGATGCTATAAAGTAAGCTTATTTAGTTTCAACTCAGGTTCCTAAGGTAGAGTAATTAAGAATTCACCTGAAATTTTTCCTAAATTGTTTATTTTCTAAACTTAAGGTTGAATGTCAAGACTTTAGCTTGATTTTCGAAAGGATTTTCCAAACATTGTTTGTAAAATCAACACGCAGTCATTTGCAAACAACTACTTTGATTGTTAGAGTGCTTGAAATTTTTATGATTGCTTTTAATGTCAAAATCCATCAACACTCCGAACCTGTGAAAATCTCCTTTTGCTGCGTTATGACTTCAACTTCAGACATAGAAAACAACACTTCTAAGGCGTCACTAGACCTTGCCAAGGCCCTACAATATCTAATCATTTAGACCTTTTGAATTTCAACATCATGAAGCAAAAGCTTGTGTTATATGGTGAATTGTGTCTGTCATACATTGAAAAATTTACTTGTCAATACTTGTCCCAGCAGATTATTTATGTAATTGTAAAAGATAACCCATTGGAGAATAAATGTAGTTCAGGTCGAGAATTGTCCTTCTCTAAATACTTCGATTACCCCGTTTCATTCTTTAATCGGGGCACTACAGTTGCAATTTTCTAAGTTCAATTCCACCGCGATTTCTCTAAATTTATTGATATCACCATCATGGTATTCTTTTTATTTCTTATTTTCTAATAAGGTAAACTCTTGTTTTAGATTTTTATTCCATTCTTATATTTCTTATGTTTTGATTTGCATCTTGGATGGCTGAAGGAACGGATCAAACACGAGGGGATATTTCCACTGGACCTTCTTAGATTGTTTCGAGTTGTTGGGTGGCTATGGGCTATCCTTCGGCCTTTATTACGTTGATTTGGATGACAAATACCTAACCAGATATCCAAAGCTTTCTGCACACTGGTACTCAAATTTCTTGAAAGGGAAAAGCACCAGCTCAAATGCAATTACCGAAGTTGGGGATAGCACATTTGTTCGTCAGACAGGTTAAGTTCCCGTGTTTATTTCATCTACTCGAGGCCAAGCCAGATATCTCGCTCCTACATTTGTACTTGTATCATTTCGCGTATATTATATAAAATGAAAAGAGTAAACACATCGAATGGAAAACTCTGTGTATCATACGGATACATGTCCATATTGTATTAATAATCATACATTCGTACTAGGCTAGTACATGTTGGGCGATGCTAAATTAATTTACTTGAACTTCTTAAAATCTCTTTGCTTTATTGTCTCTGGTGACGAGGGTACAACTGTTCTCTCTTCAAGCTCCAAATGCTATTCTCTTGCTTTTTTCTACTTCACTCACGATTTCAGAAGCATTTCAAAATTTAGTATTCAGGGCTCTTTTGGCAGGCTTGTGCTTTTAAAAACTCTTCTAACCTGACAAAGCACTTCAAAAAAAATATCAAATCATTTTCAAAAATTATTTCTTAGTTTAAAGGTATGTTTTGACTTTTCAAAAGCCTTATCAAAATGATCCTTAATATTAGTAAC